TCGACCCCCATCGCTTCCTCCCAATCGGGGAATGAGGGGGAGGGGGAGGCGGGAGAGGGCCGGAGAAAGTCAAAAGAGCGAGACGAACGAACTGGGAACCCGAGAACCCCGCGGACCGATGGGCAGGGGTCTCGAAACGGCACGCTTCTCGCGGATCTGAACGATCGTTTGATGCATCACGGTGGTCACTGAAAATATGTCCGGGGTTTCCTGAACAACAGAGGTCGGGAGGGGGTGGTCCTTGGCGGCGTTAGCGGCAAGCTCATCCATTTTTCATTCAACTCTGCAGCGAGCGAGCGCACAGCGCAGCGGTCCACGCCGCCCTCGCCCTGGCGCGAGAAGACGCGCTCGATCTGGAGCACGTAGGGCTTAACGTCGATCGCGTTCTTGAAATGTTTCCAGCTGTCGGTCCAACTGCCCACGGGGTCTCCGCCGTCGAGTAGACTCTGGAACTCACGTACACATTGCTCACTGTCGCAATAAGTCCAGACAGGTTCTTCAACAACTCGGGCGACATGGAGGAGGGCTCGAGCTTCTGCGCGGGCGCTGCTCTCTCGGGGTCCGTGGATCCTCGAGGAGTAGTTCAGTCGATGAGAAGGTGCCACGCACACCGCATAGCCCGCACGGGCACGCCAAGGATCTCGTGGAAAGCAGCATGCGCCATCCGTCGACAAGTCGAGCCATCTTCTGCTCTGGTCGACGGTGATGTAGTTGGCACGTTCCTCTCCAGGGTCATCGTCGTGGCGGGCGGTGTTGTGGAGGTTCGGGGTCGGCCACCATCGCGTAGTAGAGCAGGATGGCCTCCTCGTCCATGCAGGTGGGCCCGCAATGTCGCGAAGATTGTGGCCACTGTTCTCGTTCCTGTACTTGTGGAAGTCGAAGTAGGGATCTCGCTCTGCTTGCCAGCAAGGACAGTCCCGAACGATGTGTGCCTGCGTCTCCTGCTCAGCGTCGCAGAACCTGTAGGCTGCTGAAGTATCTTCCGAGACTCCAGCTCTTTGCAATCGCTGTTGTGCGCGATCCCCGCCGGCGAGAAAGACAGACAGCATACCACGCTGCTACTTCGTGAGGCCGCGCTTCTTGCTGGTTGTGCGTAGTGGCCAAGTGTTCGCCACCGTGTCGAAGCCGTATTCCTGCCTGGCGGCGTCACCGAGGCCGCTTCGGGTGGCGGGCACTCGTCGTTGGAACCATCGTAGTTGTGCGTCACGAAGGTGATGCATGGGGTGGTCGCTGCGTCCCTCCAGCCAGTAGACGGGTGTCCCCCGGTCCTCGAATCGAGGCCAGCGCCACTGGAGTTGCGTGAGCATCCTGATGAAAGTGCGCACAGGTCTTGGGCAAACTGCTTCAGCGCCCTGGATGCGTTGCCGGAGGTCGGCGACAGATGAGCATAGTAGTGGCACTCGTAGCACTTGGCGCGGGATGGATAACATGACTTCGCGCTGGCCGATGGTGCGGGGGTCGAGGGGGTGGCCCTTGAGGACGATGTGTAACAATATTCACTGGCAAGTCCACTGTCGACCCCTCGGCATGACGGCAGCAAACATGGCGCGGCAATGCTCGCGCATCTCGAGCCTGGACGGGGCCCCGAGGTCGGAGCCAACGGCCTTCAGGGAAGCGGCCATCGCCTGTGATCTCCGCGCGCTTCTGCATCCGTAGTGGTAGGCGTTGGGCTCGTTGGAGCCGAAGTATGGCTGCCGCGACATGCTGGTCGAAGAGGCCGGTGTCTTCCCCTCCCCGCGCGACGATCTGGCCGCCCGCATGTCGGAAGGCCCTCTTGACGGGGAGGGCCGCAGACCTGCGCGCTGCTCAGCTCGCAAACCACACTGTCGCCAGTAGCCCAGGCGACTCACTTTGACCAGAAAGCATGTCGGAAAACAAAGATTGGCGGAGAAATTCACGCGTGCCTGGCATGTCCCACACCGTTGAGTTGGAACCATCGATGAGAATTATAGAGAGTAACTTCGGTATCACACTAGGCTGTCTTGCAGTCCACACGCACGTGAGCATTCACGTCGTCGATGCTGAACGCAGAACCTTGGAGGCGGGCGTTCGCAATGCTCATGGCATCACTGCATGTGCCAGACATTCTGGGGCATCTCCGATGATTGCCGCAAAACGCCTGTCGTACACGTTGAATGCTTTCTGGACAACCAGCGCGCCTCTGGAGTTGCATGCGCATGTCCGCCACCAAAAGGTCGAAGCACTTCTTGCGGTCCAGCGCCAAGCCGTGGACCCACCTCTCAACATGCCTGGACCACTCGACCTGCAGAGCGAGACTCGTCGATGCATCTGACAACCTGGCCCCCGAAGTGGCCCAAAAGCTAGCGGGGCGGCGCCGCTTGCGCCGCCATGGCTCAAGCTTCCGGAACAAATCGGAACGCCCCAAGAGCAAAGCCAGACCGAAAGGATCGAGAGCAAACGTTACTCCTCAGGACCACCACCACCACCACAACCCCCCACCCACCCACCCACCCACCCACCCACCCACCCACCCACCCACCCACACCCACCACACACACACACACCACCACACCACCCCTTCGTCAAA